CTATTTTTGGCACCCTACATCTTGTACTTCGAACTCAGTCTAGTCGCAATACTGTACGGTTGAACTTCGCAATGATTGTGCTATTTGATATATTAAAAGTTTTGCTGAATCTACAAATGAATAATGATTTTTAAACTATTTAAGTGTCCAAGAGACAGATTGTTATAATACTAAATAAAGAAATAAAAAAAAAACTATTTAAGAAAGTAATGGAAAATTCACTCTGCAATTTAGCGATAAGGAACCGTTCAAATTTTTAAACAAACATCTCTGCTTGCTAAATTGACCGATTCTTAATTAATTAATTTACGTCATTTATTAATTAATCAAGCGTGGATATAAATACTTTTTTTTTTGTTCCTCGCCTTTAAGACTATACGGGGGCTTCCCCGGCCAAGCAGTGAAGACGGGGATTTAAAAGACCCTCCCAGCACCGTGATGCGAACTAGTGATATCAATTTGTCAGGCTGCCGGGCGACGGTGGTTCTGTATACAGACATTAGCCCATTCGGCCACCCCACCCACAAGGACATAAACACTTAATAATTGTCCAATTATGTTAAAAAATAAATAAGTTTCTAAATTTAAACATAGCTGGACAATGTTGAACATTATACTCTTCATCCTGTACTTCGACCTCAGTCTAGTTGCAGTTCTGTACCGAAGTACTTCGCAACAATGGGGGTCTTTGATATTTTACATGTAGACTTTGATACAAGCTTGATTGCATCTACAAATGAATCATGATTTTGAAACTATTTAAGATAGTAAGAGAAAGATCTCTCTACAATTTGGAAATGGGGTACTGTTCAAATTATCAAGCTAGTATCTGTGCTTGCTAAATTAACCGATTCCTAATTTATGTGGTTCAAGTATGGACTAAATACTTAATAATTGTCTTATTATGTTAAAAAATAAATAAGTTTCTAAATTTTAACATATTATTTTCAATGTTATGTAAACAGAATAGATAATAAAAACGTATGACGCAAACCAAGCATATAATTTTTCTCGTGACACAAAGAAGGCAAATTTACAGGATTAAACTGAGGGAAATCTTCGTGACTAAATAATAAACCTATTTCGTCGAAAAATATTTAATTGGGAGGGAAACCTTTCCTTATTGAAATAATTGACTTAGAAATCGATCGAACTCAATATCTTGGAAATTGCTTAAAATTATTCACTTAAAGACTTCTCCATTATTTTAAAAAGATTTTCTAATTTGACACAAGTCTTCAGATGTTTTGGACTCATCAATGATGAAATATTTCATAAAATCCATTATAATTAGATTTTTCTACATTTTTTTTTGTTTGTTTTTTTGGCTTTAAGACTTGTAAAAGCAAGTCCTATTTTGCCAGAAAAATATTTAATTTGTCATAGTGTGATGAAATTACGGTTTTTAGACGGAAATTACACTGGATTTATATTAATTATTTATAGTTAGATGATAACTGAAAGTAACTTATATGGGACTTCGATATTAGATATTAGATATTATGGAAACTAGAAAGACTAATGGTTAAAACATTGAGATGAATTAGAATTACAATTAACTGAGAATAAGTGGCGACTTTTATTATATGACTGCTTTGATGTCATTCATGAACTTAATCAAGTCACGGGCGTTATCTTTGTTCATCGACCGAAGAAATTTAGCTCCATCATCCGTAGTTTGCGATCCTAAACTAATTCTTCTTCGCTTTTCGAACCTTTTGCACTTGAAGGCAATATGTCTTGGATCCCCCAAGCATTGGCATGTTGGGCAGTAACCATTCTTAGCTAAACCCATTAGATGAAGATATTTATTTTTTCTACCGTGGTTTATCCTAAGCCTGGTCAGCTTTACTAAGCTGGAGCGGTCGAGATGAGATTTAAGAGTCGCAAACCATGGAACCATTGCTATCCTCTGTTGAACTGCATGATGGTCCTTACCCTTCGAGGCAGATTCCCAGTCGTAGAAATGCTGCCACTCTTTTTAATTTCTTTATTCATCTAGTAAATAGGGCATTTGCGATCCAAACTGTTGTGTTTTTCACCACAGTTGGTTCATTCACCATAGTCTTTAGTACATTTTTCATCCGTAAGTTCCTCACCACACTGAGAACAGATAATTTCGGGTTTTGTGCATTTTAGTGCATGGTGGAGACAACTGAGACACCTAAAGAACCTAATCCGATTAGGAGTATACATTTGGACCTTAATGTTCTGATAATCCGTTTTAAGAGTATCTGGAAGTAATGGAGTCGAAAAAGTTACAATATACGAATTTGAGAATTTTTCGTTACTATTTATTTTTATTTTTTTCTATGAATATCCACAATCTTTTCCATTTAGTTCCTCTATAATTTCATTTCTTTTTAAGTATTGTAAATCGAAGCATCTAATAACTCCCTTGCAATAATTTAGAGTGGCGTGTGCTTTTACAGTTATATTAAATTAGTCGGAAAATCATTTACATACTAAAACTTTTGTGACTGTTTACTATTTCTAGTAGCGATCAGTAAATCTCCATCACTCAATTTCTTGGTTTATTTAACCTTCTTGACTAAATTAGTTATAAATTTGTTCATCAAAAAGGGCACACACTTTGAAACGCTTCATCTTCTTCCCTATTTACTATTAAATAATTAGGTATATTTTAAAGGCTTCATTTACTTGAAGAGTGTCTGGTGGGTTTTTTATACCACCTCTTATTCCACGTTTATTGGAGCTATGAAATTTCCCATCCATATTAGTATTAATTCAGTAAAAAAATAATATGAAAAATAAAAAATAAGAGGAAAAAATCTCCACATATATTATTACAGTAAGGCTCGAAATCGGTTTTGTACCAAATATGAGCTAAGGGGGTTAGCGAATCGTATTATCCAATTTTGTTTTTCTTTCTAAAATAAATAAAGTCGATACAAACATTTTGCTAGGCTTCAGTACTGGAACGGTGGTAGGTCTGTAGATCGATACGGGACAAATTGGATCTTGAAGATTTTGATGCGTACATCGAGACCCATATAGTTCCTCCGGGACTACCGCATCCTGCGTTTTTAAGCCCAAAAATGTACTATTTTCGAGATAACGCAAGGCATGGGGCTCTCATCCACACAACCTTCAATTAATTGTAGTACTGTCATTGAATACATGCCTCATTTCGTCGACTTGAGGTCTCTATGATCGAGAGAGGAGGAGTTTATAGTTTTTGATTGGCAAGCCACATCATCGTTAATTTTTCACCAAATCTCAAGATTGAGCCACCAATTTCGAACGCTTCATTCTCTTTCACCCCGAAAATTCTGGCAATCAAATTATGAAAGAAAACAAACTTTATTTGCGAATAATTAAAAAATTACACACTTTTGCCTTAGTTATGCCGATGATTATATAAAAGATTACTAAATTCCCTACAAAAGGACAAAAAAATCATCGAAATCGGACAATTTTTAGCAAAGATACAGCTTATTGAAATTTGTAAACATGTTGGTTCCAAACAAAAATGAAGATTTAAATTAATGTTTGTTTCCTTTGTCGATTGTAGTTAGCGATAAAGTAACATTTGATTTCTTTATCTTTTGATACGTTGCATTATTTTATTTTATTATTAATTTGGCATTTGATAACAATCTGCTGTGCGAATTGTTCGCAGGGGCTTACTAGTCTATAATAAAAAAAGAATATTTATATATATATATATAAATATAAATGTGGACAAAATAAAAAGGAAAGAATTGAAAGTAATCTTATCTAGATATTTAAAACAATACCTCAATTTGCCAAATCTTCTATCTAACTCACCTATCACTAATAACTGCATAATTATTGATAGTAGAAAGAATAAATCCTTCAAATTGTTATATGATTGCGTTGTGACTTGTTTTGAGCTGCATGTACCATCCTCAAACAATTGGCAAAGTGCATCAGGCTAATCATATGCCCTTTTTTTTGTGTCCATCTCTTCTTTCCCAATCAAAAGTTTGCGAGTATGAGGCTAAACCTAATAATTTGGACGTCGGAAACATAAAGGTCCAAAAGGAAATGAGGAAAAAAATCAACAAGAAATGAATTACAATTTTCTAACACACCAAACAGCTTGATAAAATCAGGAAAGAAATTGAATCCTGGGAACTAAAAAGGCTTTATAGACTGACTTTATAAGCGATCTGAACTTTTTTTCAAACAGTCAAATGATATGGTGAATTACGGGAACTTTTCACTGATTACAGGTTATTAAAATATTTCTCAATCAGGTTAAGTTAAGAATACTTGTTGAACACTATCTGCCATTTCTGTTTATATAATAATAATTTTAAAAATCTGATCATATTTTTTGTGAATACAATATTTTCGCCTCTTAAAGGCTTCAGAATTTGGTTATTTATCACTTAAACCTCAAGTTAAAAGGCCCAATTTTAAAGATTGTTCGTGTTCCACCAAAATGATATATCTGTTTAAGACCTCGCAAAGCTTGAAAAATAGTCTTGGAGGATCCAAATGAATCGAAATGAAAAAGATTTACTCATCTATGAAATATATAAACTCTATAGTTCGATATTCAAGGAACTACAAGAAAAATTAGAATTTTCGAGATTTTGAATTATTAAGAGGGAAGAAAAAAAAAAAAAAAATCGAATTATTAAGTGTTTTTGTTATATTTTTGAAAATATGTATGAGCTTTATAAATTTGATATGTATAGAAATAGCCTCATGTAAAAAATAATTACCAAGGAAAATTCCGAATTATGAAGAGACGAAGTGGTCTAGTTGGAATTACAGAACATTCACCCCCTCTCTTGTTACGAAAAGAATTTCGAGTTATCGATTTATCAAAATACAATATTTTTCCATTTACCGAAGTTGACAGCTGAATATCTCAAACTCTCGAAAAAATTGAACTATCCAGAGTCGACTGTAACACACTGGAACATTCAGCCAATTCTATTGGCTAACGTGATTTGCATCTATAAATAATAGATAAAACATGGATAAAGATCAACAAATATTAAGGGGTTTCGGGTTTGTTTATTAAAATATTAAGTAAGTATAATAAAAATGAAAAATATTTAATTTAATATTTATAAAATAAGATTAATTAATAGTAAATATATTAACATCGTTAATACTCTATTATGGCCATACAATATTTTCAATCCAAGGTACATATGCAGAAACTCTTGTATATACACCAGGAGTTATCAAACCGCATCCGACTCCAAAGGATGTAATTCCTATCTGAGAATACATGCAGTAAGGATCAGTTCTAGTTACCTGCAATGGTCCTCCGGAATCACCCTACCAACATAAAAATGTATATTTTACAATACAAAAAAAAAAAAAAAATGCACTAGTACAAGTGTTATCAATGTTTTTGTCTTAACTTCTTTAAGGTAAATGTATCGGTAGTAGAGACTTTAAGATATATTTTCAACATTAATGTGAATAATATCAAGAAATTACAGTCTTTTTTCAAATCACAACAAATTTCTGAAGCTCTGTTGGAATACACAGTGCCTCTTCCCAAATCTTTAATTAATATTCACAGCTCCTCTAATCTACCTGATAAAGTAGAGAAGAAAAGTTCATACCCATCAATTTATTTGAAACAATCAGCACTGAACACAATCACGGAACGTTACCCTAATTATCTACAAGTTTATATGGACGAATCAAAAACAAGTAACCAAAATTCTGTAGCTGTGTGTGATCCCCAAAAGAATCAGACATTTTCATTATCAATACCTATTGAATTCAGCATTTTCAGTGCCGTACTATATACCATTCTTAACGTCATAATATACAGCGAAAACACATACATCAACCAAAAAATAGTTATTCTGACCGATTTAGAAACTGCATATAAACACCTAAAAATAATCTATCAAAATAATGCATTGACACATATTTCCTTTAAAATTATCACTTATATACAACGCCAGCAACAATTACTTTTTTCCAGTGGGTGCCGGGACACGTAGAAATATCGGGAAATGAAATGGCAGACAAAACAGCGAATCAAAACCAACTACATCGGATAAATGCTAATGTCGCTTTACTGGATTTGATAAGAGTAGTGAGGAGAGAAACAATGAAAGACTGGCAGGATTTCTACGATTGAGAATGTGCCTCGAAAGATAAGGACCATCATACAGTTGAACATAAAATAGCTGGGGAGTGGGGTGGCAGAATGGGCTAACTCGTGTGCACAGCACCGCGAGTTTCCGCGCAACCAGATAACTGAAGTTATGATTTTTAAAAAAAAGAGTTCGCGTTCCGGTGCTGGAGGGGATTTTAAATTCCCCGCCCTTACCCTCCGGCCCGGAAAAATCCCTCATAGCTTAAAAGGCGAGGTAGAGAAGAAAAATAAAAAAAAAAGCTCTGGTTCCATAGAGTGAAGGTGGTGTGTTTTAAATCCACACCCGCACTTACTGGCCCGGGAAAACCGCGTATAGCCTTAAAGGCGAGAAGGGGAGCCCCGCCCCAGAATAGCTCTTAGTCGCTTGGAATTCTTAAAAGATAACCCCATTGTATTTCCTTCCCTGTATCGAAAACTTATATCCCTCTTTACAACAAATAGCAACTTTATAAATTACTATTGCATATAAATTCCTTAAGATTTTTTAAAACATTATTTCAGTACCAAATTTCGTATTGAATGGATTAGAAAAATCAACAAAAATATATAAACTACTACGTACTGTGAATGCTTAGTTGTAAATTGAAATATATTTCTTGAAATTGAAATATATTCCACGAAATGACAATAAATAGAGTAAATATGGTAAAGACAAATTTAAAGTTCAGTGCTTACACAGAAGCCTACAAAAGCTCCTTCGCTCACTTCTCAATTAGCCAGTAGCTTATTTTCTTATGTTGGCGAGCTATAGCTATCAAATCAAGATATACCTTTACATTATCACCAATCGCCGCTGAATTTCGAAACTAATTACTTTTTGTGACGCTATTTGGAACTGATATTATATATATATATACATATATATAACAATATTTGCCTAAGAAGCTGTCGTTTATCAGTATCAGGAGCGTAGAAACGTAGGGGTAACTTTCCTAAGGCCTCGGGCCACAAAATACTCCAGACTGTTCAGGTTTAATTTTTAGAAATATTTCTGAGAGTTCTCAGAAAAGTACTAGAAATAGCAATCAGTGAGCAATGAAAAGAGCAGGTAACGAAGAGTTTTAGATTTTAAATAGAATTATATCTTGGAAATGTCTAGGAAGCAATGTTTCATAAGCAGAGCATTCATATTTTGATTATATGATTCTCTTCACCGCACGTGTTGCCCAGTCAAATTAGACATGCTAAATTACAAAAGATTGTGTAATTCAAATTTATTTTTTATGTTGTTGGGTATGTAGTAAACATGAAGAATCCAAGTTTCCTCCCTTGAAAACCTTGTGGGTTAACTGCAATGCTGCAAAGCCATTGAAATTTCGAACTTTTTTTGGTTTATGATAAATGTCTCCTTTTCAGAACGACATTGATAAAAAAAAATCTGGTGCGCGCAACACACAACTTTCACTTACCGTTCAACTTTGAATAGAAATTATTTTTTGGCTATTATAAAATTTTTGAATTGCATTTTTAACTGAGCTAAAGCTAAAAAATTACAGCTAACTAATCATAAATACCATTAAAATAACAAAAGTTTTATTTATTATATCATCGGTTGATTATGGATTGTACGACTATTAGTTATTAAAATGTTATTTTCCATTGTAAAGTTTACTAAAACGGAATTAAGAGATTTGCATTGTCTGTCATAGATAGGTCATAAGTTGTCACACTAATTGTAAGTAGACACAGTTGGAATATCACAAAAGGTTAATTTCATTAAACTATTCACTAATTTAATTTTCTAAAAGGTTACATGATGATTTTTAGGAATAAACGGACGATAGGTTCCTAAATATTTAAATATAATATCAGATTTAGTGTTATTAAAACTACAGTAAATATATGTAAGGTTATAAACGTATCTATGAAATATTTTTATATTTCATTTCTTCTTTCACACAGGTACAATGAAATAGTAGTGGGTACTGTTGGAATACCACAAAGGGAAGATTCATCAAATTATTCACTAATTTAATTTTCTAAAAAGTTACATGACAATATTTCGGAATAAACGGACGTTGATACATAATTATTTAAATATAATATCAGATCTAGAATTATTAAACTACAGTAAATGTATTTAAGATTATAAAGATATGCTTTATACATTCATGAAATGATTTTATATTTTATTTCTTCTTTCACACAAGTACAATGAAATAATTTTTTCAAGCAATTTTTTTTTGTCTTTCCTGTATCCCTGTATAGCACTATAATTATGCCATTTATGAATACTGATATGCATAATTGGCATTTCAAGTAACAAGAAAAACAGTAATTGTTGATGACCGATTTCCTTATAATAAGTGGAAACAGTAAAAATGAAATAAATGAATCAGAAACGCAAAAATTATAGATCTAAGGGACCTTTCCGTCCCAGAGAGACGAAGATACTTGATTTCATATATCGTCCTTGACTCAGTCCTTTTTGCTTCCCAATTAATCAGCGTATTTCTATCAAGGGTGAAAAATAATAACTCAGAAAGCTGAATATTGATAGAAATATTGCTTCCGTGAATATTCGTTTTCCAATTTTTATCACCGATCCGTGGCGCCCTCTCTGCCATTGCGGCCAAGAGCGGGGGTTCATGCTACGGCCCTGATTTAATTAAATACATTATTTACTGTTGAATAATTTGTTCTGAAGGCTTCCTGAAATAGATTTACTTTGTGCTACCTTTTTGCCCATTCAATTAGCCAAAGTTATTTTTGAAATATAAATTGGAGGACGTGAACTTAAGAAGATTGGAGGAAATATATGTCATACACTTTTTTCAACTATGACTATAATAGCCACCGATTCAGCTCCATGTTTACCTGACACGTGTCCTTTCCACGTTCTCCTCCAGAGCAAAACATTATGTCGGGTTTGATCCCTTTTGAGACTTTAGGCCAATGGGTGCCGTAAGCGCTCACACATTTATCGTCATCAGTGAGATTTAGATGTACTTTTTGAAGAAAACTACTGGAGACGCTGTTGTTACCTAAAAAACATGTTTCATTATTTCGTATTATTTTACATGTCTTACGAAAAAAAAAAAAAATAAATAAATATCTAAATTACCATATGATGTATATCCCCATCCAGAAGCTATTGCTTTTACATCTTTAAAAGATCTTTCGGTTTGAAGGCACAATGGTCGGATACTGGGTCCCAACTCCACCTCCTTTTCCAACCTCAACAAGGCTATATCGTGATAGGCTTTGGAGGGTACGTACATGGGGTGGTTGATGACTTGGGAGATTTTAACATCGATTGGAGAATCTTTGTCGTTTTTCTGAAGAATGTCGAGTTCGCCAAGTCTGACAATTACAGTAGCACTGTAAGAGAAACATTTTATTATTAATAGTCTAATGATTTCTTATTTATGAATACATAAATGATAAATAGGCAAAGGTAAAAAAGTTTAGTCACTTTTTCTCCTCTGTTTTTCAACAGATTTATTTTTAATTTTTTTGTTTAGTAGCTATTGATGAGCATTAGTGTTATGAATAAAAACATTTTTGGAAAGTTTTGAGTAGTTAAGTATACAGTTGAGTATTTCATTTCTGAATAATACAAACAGTGAACAATTTTTGGTGTATAAAACCTTAGTATTTGGATTGCATCCGGAATTCCCTACAAAAAGAAAAAAAAAATCATCGAAATGGAAAAGAATCATGTCTAATAACATATTTTTATTGCATTTTAAAACATTTTTTAGGGTTTATATTTTTTAGGAAAGCTCTATTACGGCAAATTTACATTTGGATATAGTATGAACACAATTTTGATTTAAAAAAAATATACCGACTGAAGGAGTGGGTTCAAAAATATTTTTAATGAGAAACCAAATTCTTATGGGTGTTTAGCACCTGAAAAAAGTTTTTTTGCTTGAAATTTTCACAGATGGAGTGGGTTCATTTTTTTAAAAAATAAATCATCGATGGATTTATATTTTCATTAGCCAATAACACGAAAATTGCACAAATCGTACATTACTGTTCACTCTTGTATGTACATATAAAAGCGAATGACCAAATACATAAGAGTAAAAAAAAAATGTTTGAAACATGAAAATTTATTTACGTTTTTCTGAATGTTCAATAATGATTATGATCTGATTTCGATGACTTGGCGAACACTAGTTTATTGAAATTTGGAACTGTATTAAATAAATACAACCAGTAAATGAGAAAAAAATCTGGAATAATGAAATGAATAGACTTGTCGATATCCTATCCAATGGTACACTCCCGAAATAGTTCTAAATAAGAAGATCCCCATCTTCTTTTCGGACGCTTACGAGGATTATTAGGAATCGAGGAAGAAGCAAGGTTGGAAAGTTGATTCGGATGGGATTGATTTTAACATTCATGGAGTTTAACATGAAAGGATAGATATCTGGCCCGAGGCAAATCAGCGACATATGGAACATTAAGGTATCTATGGAGGATTATATTTGTGACAAAGTATAGAACATTAAGCATTTCTCCGAAGTATTTTGGACTATAATGAAGTATTCTCTGCCAAGGGAGTAGATTTCATTCAGAAGCCCTAGAAATCATCCTAGTCTGACAACTATGATTAAGTAACCTATGGGTTAAGTCTGGTCTTATGACTTTCTTCTACACTTGGATCTAAGAGAGAAAGAGAGAGAGAGAGAGAGAGAGAGAGAGAGAGAGAGAGAGAGAGAGAGAGAGAGAGAGAGAGAGAGAGAGAGAGAGAGAGAGGGAGGGAGAGATCTATAATATAGCATTTATTCGCATGGCGAAACATCTATCAATTTTTACAATATAATATTTTTTTAATTAATGAATAACTCCAAATTATGTGAAATTACTTGATGTTTGAGATGTTGCAATGAGCTGCGGTGAGGACGAAGTTGGGGCTGATCAAACTCCCGCCGCAGAACCACAGGGGGCTTCCTTTATTTTCGATACCGATCAGTGCCTGGAAGTATATTAACAAATACGTATACAACAACAGTAGTTTAAACATGATATTATAAATAAAAAAATTATAGCTGAAATGTAGAAACTAGCTAAGTCGAAAAGAAGGTACCCAAGACGTCAAAATTCTTACCATGTGAGGGAACTCGTTGAGCTTGGCCGGAGCACCACCCACTATGAGGGTTTCTGCCGTTATTGCACATTCGTCAAGCTGTTTCTTTTTTGAATTTGGTAAAAGAAGTGGAGAGTCAATCTCCCTGTACACGTATTGAGCGTACTCTCGGCACTCTGAAATTCAATCATTCTGTTTTGAGTGACAAATCAGTCATATGCAAACATTCAGGATGTCTTATCCAAACAACTGTTAACTAACAAGGGGAGGTTACGGAAGTGGGGTCACCAATTCCAATGAAATTTTTTTGGTGATACTAGTTTCAAAAATATTAGAGCCATGTCCGAGTGTTCTTGCCACTGCGCCTGAGGAGCTGTGCAAAAACTATTGTATAGAATATTATTTTATGAATTTTTGACTTTGCTTTACGCAGATTTTTATTACGTTATTATATATCAATCGATTCATTTTTCTGTGCGTAATAAGAAAACAATATTTACTAAGGTATTAAATTGTTCATAAAGTATTTTAATTAACATATACCAAAAGGCGCTTCCAGTAAAGTCATTCATAACTTCTCAAGATTTTCTCCTAATTCAACGTCAAAAAATCCGTTGAAAAGTTAATGCTCTTCCAAACCACACTAATAAGTTTTGTACTTCATTCCGTTTTAAGCAAGAGGCATAGAAAACTTCTCAAAATATTTTTATTTTACATCTTTGGTTATAATTTGTTTACAACATGGTGTCCTATCATCTAAATTATCCACTAAAATTTGAATTTTCAATAAAAATTTGCATTTAAGTGTTTTAAAAAAAAACTAAAAAAGAATTTAACTTTCTTTTTCATAAAAAAAATGTACTAAGCCTATTTTACTGGAAACGCCTTTTGGTTTTTGTTAAGATACTTTGTAAATTATTTAATTCCATAGTTAATATTTTTTCTTATTTGGCACAAAAATTTTATATTTACACGAATTTATATCTTTTTATCATTTATAACTTTATTGTACTTCGAATTAACCTGCAAATATTAAATTGTATTTCATAGACACACGAAAATATTAATATATATTCTGTATTTGTGACTTGTTCTAAAGGGACAATAATAAAATTATTTTCATTCATTCAAAAAACAAATAAATTGATGCATAATCACCTAAAAATATATGTTAAGCAAAGGCAAAAAAAAACAAAACATTAATTTTGTATAAAATTATTTCATTTTTTTTTTTTTTTTTATGCACCAAGGCAAAAATCCTCGGATATGAGTATAATATATTTCGACCTAGTGCCACCAAAAATGTTTCATTGCATTCGGTTACCCCATGTCCGTAACCTCTTTTTTTTAAGTGAAAAAAAATTATTTAATTGGTTACGAATAATCTAAGTTTTCAAAAGAATACTCACTTTGCTCTGCTTTCTTTCCTCCCTCTGGCTGAGCAGACGGTAAAGTAACTTTATCCTTCACCTCTGCTTGCGACTCAGGAGGGCAGCAGATGATTGGTTCGCGACCAACGAAGCCGCATAGCTTCACCTCACCATCTTTCTCGATTCCTGTTTTCAATCCCTTGCAGGTACTGGATTTTTGGCAAGTCCACGGTTCTGTGCCATTCTTGCATTTCTCGTTCAAGCCTGTACAATACCATTTATAGATTAGCAAGTTTTGATCTAGTATGTTGTTCCTAACGCAGGGTCGATCTTGGTAAACATTGGGGGTAACACCACTCCAAAACTAGAATAACTTTTTTGATGCGTAAGCAAAATCTGACATATTGACTGATCTGTACGGCTTCTCGGTAAAACGCGAAGTAAATTCCTATCAAACATGTTGATTTAGGATTCGAAACAAAGAAGTCATTATAATTTTGAAATAATGATACCCTCAAAATAAAGTTTCTTTGATTTACTACATGGATTTAAAAAAAAAAAATTTTAAAAATATTTCATTTGCTCTGAAAGCCCTGGTTCATACATAGTGAAATTGATTAAGTAATTTAAATAGCTCCGAATGAAATTTCGTACATTGTTACTAGATATTGACAAAAAAAAATTTATTTCTATTTAAAGTTGAAGGAAATAAAAATCATTTATTTCAGCCATAAAAATCTTTTATTATGCTGCCGATGTATGTGTTAAAACCGGAGCCTCTGTTAATAATAGATTTCTCATTACGAAAGGTTTAAAACAGGGATATTCACTGTCTTCGCTTCTGTTTAACATTTATGTAGAAAGGGCTCTAAGAGAATGGAAAAAAATGTAGAGATGTGGGCATAAAGGAGACGGTACCCTATTCAATCTCCAGTTTGCTGACGACTTGGTGCTCATCGCTTCGAAAGCAGAGAATGTAGATATATGATATAAAAAATTCTCCAGAAATATATAAACTGGCAACTGGAAGCGAACAAAGACAAAACGGTATATATGATTTTTATTAGCCAAGGCGAATACGTACATTTGAACACTTGAATGATGGAACCGGAAGCTCTATTTAATTATTTAGGAAGATGGGTGAATACCATAGGAACAACAGACACAGACATTGGAAGGAGCATGAGCAACGGGAAGATAACTATAAGCATCGGTGTCCTTAAAAAAAAAAATTAAAAATCGTTACTGGAATGTGTCACTCTCTGTTCAGCCGAATCTTAGACAATTAAAGAGAGTCGATCAAGAAGATTGATAGCTCTAATAATGGATTATTGTAAGTGATGACGTGGTGTCTCTTGCCTTCATAAAGCTTAAAATAGGGAAATTAGAAAAACAAGTGGAACAAATGTAGAACATCTTCTACACCATCGAGACAATGAGGTTGAAGTGGTATGGGCTGTGATGGTTTGTAAGGCGGTGTGTTATGTTGTGAGGATGGAGGAGGAACGATGGTCTAAACGAACTTTTGAATGGAAATCACAAAGAAGACGGAAGAAAGATCGCTCGAAGAGAAACTGTCATGAGGACGTAAAAGAAGGAATTGAAAAGGGATACGTGTGAAGGAGATTGGCAGGACAGAAGAAGGTGGCAAAGATTTATATTTGGTGACGACATATGACTAATGTTGAAAAATTCGATAAATAAAAAAATAAAATAAAACTAATTTTATAAATAAATATCATAAAATAAAAACAGCCCGTCCCGCATCATACGAAACATCTTTGGTGGAGTAGATCCAGTCTCTCTCATTCTTACTGTCTAAGGAAATAACGAGAACTATTCCATCTATGATTCGAATGCTTATTATAGGTAACTTCAATGTTTTTAAAATAGTTTTAATGAAATGCTAGATGGAACATCAAATATATTCACATTATCTACAAACGGATCTAGTATTTGAAGGGATTTTGGGAGAGCTTCAGCCTGAAAGATGTTTTTTTTTTGTATAAATATATTAGGATAATTACTTCGGAAGAAAAAAAAGAAACTAACTACCTATATGAAATGGTCGTTAAGTCCTATTAACTGTAATTGAACGAACTTTGAATAATACTTTTTTTTTTCTTCTGTCCTCCCATTCCTCGCCTTTAAGGCTATACGGGGGTTTTCCGGGCACCGGGACGCGAACTCTTGACTATTTATTTTAATCAAATCTTAGGGAAAACACTGTTTCTAGGTCAACGGTTGTGCAAGGAGGTGATTTGACCGAGATCACGCTCCACCACCAGGTTTTCCCCCTTAATCAATTTTTTAATTAAGGGTACCCATTTTATAGAGGCTGGGTGTGCCCCAGGAGGGTCTCCCGACCCAGGGTCGCCCCACGGCCAATGAAACTGATAAATAAATTTTCTGCCATGATCCGGGGTTCGAACCTGGGACCTTTACCATTGGAAGCTCAATACCCTACCACTGAGCTACCCCGCTCCCCTCTGAAGGAATTAGCTAAATATAAATGGGCTATAGCATTGTTGATGTTTTTATTTTCAAATGATCTTTCATAAATTAGAAACTAATTTCATTTAATATATGAACCTGATGTTAACAATGTTTTTTGACTTGTTATAGATAACTTGAAAATGAACCAAGGTGCTCAAAACATAGTATGAATGGAACGAATAATAAAATTATTAAGGCCTTATTAATCCTTGAAGACACCGTATTTAAGTACATTAAGTGCCCTTGAAAAACATTGGACTGAATGGTAACTAAATATAATATGTACGAGGACCAATAAAGAAATGCTAACAGAAACTGGTTACTCTACATCTCTTGATACAAAAGGTAGAAAGCTTCCAATGAGCAGGGAGTTTTGCACGAAGCAATCCATCAGAAAGCACCTCCATAACAACAAATGGCAGAATAGTTGGCAACAGACTACACGAGGACAAAATCCTGATGGATACTTTACATCAACAAAGCTGCTGTTGAACTGAATTCAGTTAATTGAAAACCAATGGAGTAAAGACCACAGTAGCTAACATGCTTAAAGAAATTTCTTTGGACTTTTTGGTGTTAAAACTTAAATATTGATGATATTGTATTTTTTTTAGATACGTCTTATACATATATTTCTCATCTTGCCTTGTCATATTTAAAATTCACAAAACATCCATCTAAATATTAAAAAACTTTAAATTAAGAGAATATTTGTATTGTACTAGCAGCTGACACTGATTTGGATTGTTCGTATAGCTGACAGATACCACAGGCGGATCTGCGGGGAGTGAAGGGGGGCTTTGGGGCTGAAGCCCACCTCACTCCCCCAAAATGGTAAAATATAACCATGTTTTATAGAAAAAAATATTAAAAAATATATTTTAAACTATTATTCTTCCTGTAATTACATTTAACAAGGACTTAAAGAATAACATAAAACACCATTTCATAAGGGTAGTTCATTTCCTTTTTTTCTTTCAAATTAATTATCGCTATATATATATATATATATATATATATATATATATATATATATATATATATATATATATATATTATATATATATATATATATATATATATATATGTATATATATATATACATATATATGAAAAAAAATCTTTCGGGTTGAAGCTCACCAAAATTAAATCCTGGATCCTGGAGTAAGTGATAGACGCCCCTGAATGCTGGGAACTATCAAGAATCCGTTTTTGACAATAGGAAAACATATTTTTGCCTTTCAATTAATCCACGTCACTAGTATTTTTTTTTAGACGAGAGAATCGTGAATGGTCCATTTTTAAGACGCGTTATACTGAATATGTCTCTTTGAATTTCTGCGAGTACAGGCCTACCAACAACTGGCAAAAGACCGGATATAAGGCTCTAATAGCTGAGATCCATTAAATTTGGCAATTCCTTTAATAATACAGGTTTAAAAAAGACACATATATTAAAAGCGTAATCTAAAAACACTCCAAGAAAAAATAAAACAAAAAATTTGAGATAAATCGAAAGAGAAAAAGGCAAATCTCAGCTATGATGTCCTTATTGATAGGTCGTTGTTCTTTGGAAAATAAATGGACTTGAGCAAAGCAGACAAATGTAAGAGGAGAAAATATAGAAACCACAAATTTATGAAGCAGAGGTCTAGGAGATATTGAAATTCGATTATTCCCATTTTTCGAGGAGCTGTCAGATATTGGTACACTGTCAGCTACTGGTGCTTTTTACCCTAGCCCATGATTTGCAAATATGGACAAGACTGGTTGAGGCGAACAAGATCTAAGAGATCTGTAAAGTTAACTTGAGAACTGTGCTATCAATAATATGTTTTAAAGTTTAGGAAGTTACACATTTAATGTAATTTGGATCTCTGCTTTATGACATTGGTGGCAGATTTTGATAGAAATAAATAGAGTTTTTCGAAAAAAATTATATATGTTTAGAAATATCTATAAACATATCTAAAGTTCTTTAGACATTTAAAAGCAAAAATTACTGATGAGACATCATGTTCAGTGAATAAACATAGTAATAATTATTGGCGCCTCAACTCATCCTGTTTGAACAAAATGGTCTAGACCTACGGCAAAATGTCGTGAAGAACACCCTCGAAGGGATTGAGAAATAAAAACACAAAATAAAATTGTGAAAACGGATTCACCTATAACGCATTAAAAAATATTACGAAAACAAACAGGAAGTTATTGAATGCTTGAAGATTTGTTATTGGAAGTTGAATTCCTTGAATAAAGCCAGTATTCTCCAGTAAGGATGAGTAGGTATTAGGTGTATGTCCTTTCCTTGAAGTAAGCCTTGTGAATTACAATGAGTGGACAATGAGGAAATGTGTTCTCAAGAAGTAATCAAAGAACAAAGTTGTACATTAGTGGTCTCATTGTTTACATTTGCGTTTTTCTTATTTATCAATACCAATTATGATTTTATATTATATATAATATCTTAACACAGGAATCATATTTTATAATTTTGGATAGCTGATCTACTTGGTTCCACATTAATTGTTTACTAGTATATAAAACTATTTTTAGAAATTCAGAACAGTAGAGAAATAAATTTAACTAGGTCATCAAATTCGCTAGGTAAATAACTAGCCCTACATTTTTTTCCCGGCTAGTGTTTAAAAAAAAGTTTTAAGCACAGGCGGATTTACAGGGGAGGAAAAGGAGAGGGGGAGCCTTTCGGGCTGCAGCTCACCTCTCTCCCTCCAAAATGGTAAAATATTTTACATTATATTTTACAGAAAAATTATTAAAAACTATCTCATAAAGTATTGTTGTTCGTGTAATTAAATTTAATGGGACTTCAAGAACCACTTAAACTCCATTTCATATATGTAGTTTAATTTTACACCATTTAACTTCTTTTTTTTGTTCTTCAAACTAATTATCGTTATATATATACATACATATATATATATATATATATATATATATATATATACACACACATATATATATACATATATATATATATATATATATATATTATTATTATTATAGTGTTTGTGTGAAAAAAAAGCTTTCGGTCTGAAGCCTCCCCCTCAAAAAAAAATTAAATCGTGGATCCGCTAGTGGTTTTAATTAAATTATTAGTTATTTAAATAATATATATTCTGTTCTCATTTTTTTTATTAAGTAATTTATCAACAAATTTTAATAGCTCAAAGTTATAGAAAGTTGAACAAATACAAAAATGTGACATGGTGTTCTTTACCTCCGGGCTACAGAATTTGTAAATTAATGTTTTAAAATTAATTTTAAAGAAATTTAAATGACTGGTTTAATATAGAAAATATAATGTATCGTTAATGTAAATCTAGGCACTGAAGAGGGTGACAGAGTGTCCCCGAAACTTCAAAATAAATAAAACATTATACATTAAGATTGTTAATTAGTCAAACTAGAGCTATGGGGAACAAGTGAGAAAAATATTTAATGAAAAAAGGAACATTTTCTGCCATCTATCAAGATGATTATTTAAAAAATATTATTTATGATGAAAAAAAAAAATGTATGCATACAAGTTTTTAAATCAATTCTCATAATTATTCTAACCTTTCGATATACATTTAATTTTTTTATCATATTGTTTTACGTAGAAATAATTTCAAAGGATCAAAATATTTTAGTCCGTGGTACAGACCCCTTTTAATCAAATTATTAACATTCGTATCAAATTTCGTGAATGGTTTTATATTGTAACCTACAAATTTTTTATCTAAGATAATTCTCAGAAATAGGGCGTTTTCCCATTAAATTAACTAATTTAATAAGGTACTAAAAACTCATAAATACTCATTTATTATCTGTTTAAGCCGTACGATAATCTTATGACGAAATCGATAAAAAAAAAAAAAGATGGCCTACAAAAATATTGGGCAGTTTGGCCTATATAACCTCGTTATTTAGTAGGTGAAGGTCTCGCCAAATGACCCATTATTTTTGTAGGCCGATTTTTTTTTTGAGTTTGTGATCAAATTATAGAAGCAAATGTGGAAAGCAAATGGATATTCAAGAGTTTTTAGAACCTAATTAAATTTCGCCGATGTCCAAATTGATTTAGCCTCAGTTCCGAAGAATTTTCATAAATAAAAATGTAGAAGGTTACGATGAGTAAAGCTATTCACCAAGTTTTAGGTGGGTGGTAATAATTTGGTAAAAGGGAGTCTGTAGCACAGACTATTAGGAAATGCAAATTTTTATAAGCCATGTTTACATTTGGCAGCTTCTAAATTGGTACAGGTATTTGAGACTTACAAAATCTTACCTAAAAACAAAAGATTATGCGCAGAAACCCCAGACAGGACCACAAAGCAGAAGAGAACCACCTGCATTCCTGAGCTAGCGTCGACTGCCCCACGCGACCTTCCAGCCAACAGCAGAACTTGTTTGCTACGTCGGTTTCTTATTTTTTTTTCCCCTTAATTCACCCTGGTCAGTTCCTCCTTCGTGACGATTATTATCTCGCCTGTCCGTTTCCAGGAAAACTGTGTTGATAAGCTATGAGGGAATTGGAATATTTGTATTTGAAGTCAATATGCCAAACTACAGATTCGTACTATTTTTTCATTCAATGAGACTATTACAGATATTTGCAGAAGGAACGGATCTAGGATTTAATTTGGAGGGGAGGTTTCAGCCCGAAGGCTTTTTTTTATAAAAATAACGCCTATAAAATAATGTTTACATCTATTACATAATACGTATTGACTAACCATCTACTCAGATTTTGTTTATTATTCAAATTAAAATGGAGATACGAATAAAGAATATATTTTTCATTTACTTCATGTTTTCTAGTTCAACTTGTGTACTCAAAGATAAACTAATGAAGGATAATTGAACGAATGAAAATCTTATTACAGAAGAGCTTATTAAATCATGTATTACAAGATTGCTTCCAATCACGGGCGGATCTACGGGGGGGCTTAGAAGTTGAAGCCTTCTTTCTTCCTTCAAAAAATGGTAAAATATAACCATGTTTTATGGAAAAAAATATTAAAAAATTATCTCTTAAAGTATTATTGTTCGTGTAATTACATTTAAAAGGACTTAAGGAATCACTTAAACACCATTCATACAGGTAGTTAGTTTCTTTCTTTTTTTCCAAATTAATTATCGTTATTTTTATGAAAAAAAAGCCTTCGGGCTGAAACCTCCCCCCCCCCCCAAATTAAATCCTTATCTAGATCCGTTAGTGCTTCCAATCCTTCTGCAAATATCCTCGAGCCTGAAAAAAAGTTCTAATCTTACTCTCGGATAGATTTGCTTTTCCATCAATTGTTTCTCACTAAGGATCCATACAGAGGTACCTGTTCCCTTCTCCCCTGGTCAAAGCCGCTTACCCAACCTCCCAAGACATTTTCTGCTCTATCTTCTCAAAATCGAATTATAAAATCTTTTTCGATTTTAGTCCAATTATATATAGATATTTCATTTCTCTTCCCCTGCCTCGCCATTTTGGCCGTACGGGATCTTTCACGACCAGAGTTAAAAACTCCTCAGCACCGGGATGTGAACTCCTTATCTTCGATTTGTCAGGTTGTCGGGCAACACGCATTTTATACACGCGTTAGCCTCTCGGCCACCCCGCTCCCATTTGTTTTAAATACAGTTACAGTTGTCCGTGGTTTGAAGCTTCAAGTTGAAATCTTACAGAAATATGGTTCCCTTCAAAATTCATAACCCCTTCAAAATGTGCGTCCTACAAAAAGTTTGATGGCAAAATGTGGGTCATGCGACCCCTGTCAGAGCACTCCTGAATCCATTCTCTCTATCAATCTATCCCGACCTTAGGATCCGACTTTCCTCATTCCATAAACAAACTGTTCGCCTTGACCCATTCCAGCCATGTTTTTATTTTGACTATTCCAAATGATCCGTCTTACTTAAAACTACTCAGTACTTCTGATATCTATCAGTAGAAATGTATATTCCATCTATTTTTCAATCCACCTATCCATTCAATTCTTACAAAATGTATCATAAATCTATTTTCATTCTTTGATCCATCTACTTTTTAAATACCAGAGTCCACCCTGCCTATCTTAATTCACACTTGAAAATTGTCACATGAAGTAGGTAATTACTTCATGTGACAATATGTTTACTTTCACTTACCTATACAACGTGTCCCGTAAATAGTGGGAAATATTTAGAAGGTTGATAGTAGACATCATGATCTACAAAAAAGTTCATATAAGCAATTTCCAGAGGCAAAGTAGAAAATTTAAGATTTTTATTTTTTTAAGGGAGCGATAACTTAAAAAATATTTGATTTAAGTAACTAAATATTGCTTCATAGTAAACTCGACATAATTTACTTTTAAAAGAGTAGAGTTTAGCATTGTTAAAACTGCTTAAGGAGAAATATTGGGCGGACAAACATTAAACTCAGTTTTGAAAAAAGTCATGAATTATTTGTGATATTTCTTTACCATCTTCTAAGTGTGCTACATTTAATAAGCTGTCTGTTTATAATTATTATATTGAAGTTTATTAGGAAAATTTTTGAGATTCAGCTCAAGTTGTTTAAAGAAATGATGTAATTTCCAATCCAGTTAGCTTAAAGTACCTATGTTTTCTGCAAAAACGACTTATAATTCCCTGTTGGAATACTTTTATTTCTTGTTTTCCCGTGATGGGGGACATATTGTAATAAACATAATTGCAAAAAACACATTTTGTATATAAATATATACAATTTAAAAATAATGACTTTTAAATATTTTTCACGTAAAGTGGTTATGAACTGTGTTTTTCTCCCATATCTCCGTCATAGTAATTGATATGTATTTATCAATGACAAAATTTACTCACTAACTTTAGTTACTAACTAAAATTTATGTTTAAAATAAAGAAACCTACTGAATGCTTCAATTATTTTCATGAAAATGTAAATATTAGGGCTAGAAACATTAAGTTTGTCAATTATAAATAAGCATCAAATCCTATCACAGAAATTTGGGAGAAAAACACAATTTCATAACCACCTTACATGAAAAATGTTTGAAAAGGCATTATTTTTAATTATTTTACTTTTGTAAATAAAATGTGTTTTTAGGCAAATATATTTATTACAATACATCCAATATCACGGAAAACAATAAATAAAAGCTTTGCAATAGTCAATGGTAGTAATTTTTGTTGAAAACACAGGTACTTTAAGCTGACTGAATTGGAAATTACATCATTTTTTTAAACAACTTGAGGTGAATCTCAATGTTTTTATCTATAAACTTCAATGTAATTAATATAAACTGATAGCTTATTGAACGAGGAAGTGTTCCTAAAAATGGAGTAAATGTAGTACAGTTAAAAGGTGTTAAAAAATTATCACAAATAATTCATGATTCATGATCAAGGAATGACCTCAGTACCTTACGAAGAAGGCTAAATAAATATCTCCCTCTATTTACGAGACACGTTGTACAGGTAAATGAAAGTAATTGTCACATGAAGTAATTACCTACTTCATGTGACAATATTCAAGTGTGAAGTAAGATTGGCAGGGTGGACTCTGGTATTCAAAAAGTAGATGGATCACAGAATGAAAATAGATTTATGATATTTCAATTGCAGCAGTGGTAGAACGGCACTGGATGTATGTTATTGTTTCACAAGATTCAATTAGTCTTCTTCGTAAGGAACTGAGTTCATTATCCGGACTTGCAAAGACTTTTTATTTAATGTCACCCCAAACAAAAAAATCCAGTGGTGTCAGGTCTGGAGAGCGTGCAGGCCAAGCCACTGGTCCTGTACGGCCAATCCATTGATTTGGATAATTAACATTTAGCCATTGTCGTGGACCTCTTCCGTAATGTGCTGAACAACCATCTAATTGAAGCCACATGTCCCTTCTCAGTTGTAGTGGAATATGTTTAACTAAATAGTGGTAGAATTCATAGTAATCATTATTAAGAAATTCCAGAAATGTGCACGCATTGAGGCGAGGCGGCAAGAAATGCGGACCTATTAAAATATTGCCTATTATCTCCAACCACACATAGCACTGAAACGGGTGCTGAAAATGGTGCTCACGAATTGCATGGAGATTTTCATGTGACCAGAGATGATTATTTTTCTGATTGAAGATACCTGTTATTGTAAAGGTAACTTCATATGTCCGGAGATTTTTTCCTGAAAATTGTGGATTATGTTCAACTTGATTTAAGTAACAATCTGAAAAATTTTTTCTTTGCCGAAGATCTTGCGGTAGTAAATTTTGTGCCCGTTGATAATGAAATGGGTGAAGTCTATCTGCAATAAGAGTTCTCCATAATATTTAATTCTGATCCAGCTCTTCGTACACAGCCAGATGGATTATCATCAAAATAGTTTAATATGGTCGCACACCTTTCTTCATTTCGTAAAGGGGCAAATATACCACCAGCACGTGGTATTATAGCAAATGTACCAGTTTCTCTAAGACGTTGAAACGTGGAGCTAAAGATAGACTTGTTTGATAATCTTCTATTCGGAAATCGCCTGGCATATTCACGACGGGCAGCATTAGCATTACCATTGCAAAAACCGTATACAAACACCATTTCGGCATATTCACCATTAGTATAAATGGAAGGCATAACGATGAGTATTCTGCGAAAGCCTCTTACAAACTGATTAATGTTATTGAGAATTCCCAATGCCAATTCCAAATAGTATTTATCCTTATGTTGCCAATAATTTTTATACAACTAGGGGTAAAAGGCCATATTAGTATTCTATCTAATCCATCTCCTAAATAAAACGTTTGCGGACATATCTTCACTTTGAACAACATTTATAATATATTTATGTTAACATTAACATGTATACGAATGTTAATGTATACATTTAATTAATAAAGTAGTTAGAACAAATAAATAGGTTTTATTAATTTCATATAAGGTAAAAAATTCATAACAACGAAAAACATTAGGTGTGAATATCTTCTAAGCAATGCGTTTGTGGACATACCTTCAGAGGAAATTTTTTTCTTGTTTTCAGGCCCTTAGTTCATTTTTGCAGTTTAACCACTTTACCCTGAACACCCTGTATAGTAAGAGAAAGTATTGCGATTTTGAGCTTTTTCGAATCAGAGTTTTCAACGGATATACACGTTTTGAGATCCTCTGGGGCTAAATAATCAAGTCTCACAAAATGGTCTGTATGTGAAAACAGACTAGCTCAGAAATAAAAAGTCGTACGAAACTGATATTACGTATTTAAAGTATGTATATGACTCGGATGCAACTTTTCTCTGAAAATCGACTAACTTTATATCACCGATTTTACACATTTTAACAATTTTCTCTGAAACGGCTCTAACGATTTTGATTAAACTCGTTATGCTTGTGTACAATTAAGATCGACTGGTCAACAAAAGCGCACCGGAGCTGAGCTGAGCATACCTCTGACTCAGCTCAGCTTCCCTTCCAAAATTGAACTAAAGGCTTTTTGAAAGGCCGGCCACCAGAAGCGGAGCTGAGCTGAGCACAGTTGAGGAGCATAGCCAGGATCAGCTCAGCTAAACCGTGGGTCCACCAAGGTTCGGTTTCTGAAGCTGACTCCACCATGCTCAGCTTCCCTCATCACACCTACTCACCAAATTCGATTTTTCTTTCAGCTCCGACATGAACAACTTTACTATTCTAAAAAATGTTATATATGCTATATATACTTTTTTAAAAATGTTATACGGAACACAAGAAGGGTTCCAATGCAAAGCAAGTTGCTGACTGAGCTCAGCTCCACTACGCAATCGGTTGCCAACCCTCTCTTGCTAGCTTTTGGTGGCCAGCCAGCCTAAGTGTTATTTAATATCTGGTAGATTTTATCCTCATTGATGTTCTCCAACATATTAGCGAAAAAAACATTTAGTAATTAATTGTTTTAAATATTATGCTGTAACATCTATGATTTATACTTTCAGTTCCTCTCAGCTAAATATTTCATACTTCATCATGTGATGTAAATACCTATTTTCCTTGAAACAGGGTGGTAAGTGAAAGTTGTGTGATGAGTGAACCACACCAGATTTTTTAATTTGTTTCTTTTATGGGAATTCGTAATATATTCCAATCTATAAGACATTTCTTGCCTCAGAATAAAGATTTTTCCCATTTTGATTTTTCTTATTATAAATTAGTTCATAGAACGCTTTTTCTTTAAGAAGAGAAACTTTTAAGATTTGTATATTACAAAAAATAATACAAAACAATAACTTTTTTAAGGCTAATTATGCATATAATAATAATTCAGCATGGAATGTCTAAACCCACATAGATCTGAAATTTAAAAAAAAATACAGAAAATCTAATTATGGCTGGCAGATAAATATTAAAACTGGCAATACCTACCACCTATTTGACATTTATTGTGAATAATAGAGAACAAAATCTGAAAGAATGACAGCAGTAACAATAGCATAGTTTCCAAATATGTATTTTAATTTTAAATGTAATAATTACTGAATAGTTAAAGTGTAAATGGTAAGGCATTCTTCCTCTCAAGAAAATGTATTGTTCTGCTCTTAAAATAGATGCAAATGAAAGTAAAATTATAGTTTATTTTTTTCTTTCCTTCCTTGGTTTGATTCTCTTTGATTGAAATTTTACAAAAATATAGTTTCCTCCAACAATGCATAACCCCATAAATATTTGCCTCTCACGAATACAGAACCCTCTAAAAAGGTGTCCACTTCAAAAATTTTGATGGAGCAATTTGCACTATGCAATTCCCTTATGAGCACCCCTACGGCAGGTAAAACTTTAAATATAATTTTCTTTGTTGACTAAATATAGATAATATGTATATAATCTCTAAATATGTAAATTAAAAGATGCTTTAATTGTTTTAAAATTGTTATCGGTGTAATATCGTTGGGATAGATTGTTGGGTATAAATAGCTCTATAAGAAAACAATAATTATAAGAAGAGGAATTTAGAATCCCTGATGAAGACCTGCAAAGTGGGTCGAAACGTCGGAAAAAATTAAATAATTCTACTTGTTTAATTTAGTATTAATTTGACCGCACCCCCCCCCCCCACCATCAACTCCTTCTCATGTTAATATTTTAAAGGAAGATAAACTTTGAGGTTCAATTTAAATATATGAAGCCAAAAATTTATTATTGAATAAGGAAATTAAAAAATATTGTCTATTTGAATGTAATTTAGTATAAGATTTCTCAAAGTGGGCGATAAGCCAGGGCAGCAGTGATTTTGAGGTAAATATTTGAGGTAAAAAACATCAATTAGGTGAATAGACACTCTAAATTTTATGAGTTTATATTTTATAATAAAAACATAATTAAAATTACAATCAATCTAATTTAAAATAATATCTGTGCAAAATTTAATTTGGTTTATATATATATATACACACTGAAAATGGGTAAAGATTCTATCATGTTTTCATTTTAAGGATAACTGTACCACAATTTTTTCTTACTCTGTCAAGGGTGTTATGAAATATGTAACCTTACAAGAATGCTATGGTAAAAAAGTTTGAGAACCATTGATCTAGTACATTCTGTCAATGATAGGAAACAATCACTGAGAATAAGAAGTAATAAATTTCTAATTAAGTATCTAGTCACCTGAAGCTCTATTTTTTTTTACAAGAGTGGTGGTGATCTGAAAGTTAACAATTATAATCATCACAAAATAAATGTCAGGTGATTCACATATTTTTTTTTCTTCATAAATGTGCATAATTAAAATGGTCAGTTGATAAGAATGAATGAATAGATATATTATAAGACATATTATAAATCGAAAACAAAAATTAAAAATAACATTAATATAATGATGGGAATTACAGCTAGTATTGAACAGAAATAAAATAACAAAACAAGAGTTCAATAGATTCTAAAACAATCTTATTAATATAACAATACAAAATAAATAATTAAGTAGGATATAATGAGCAATAATTATTAATATCGATAAATCGACTAGTATTAAATTAAAATATATAATAATAAGAAGATATTTATACACTATACAATATATGACAGCAGGAATAACAATGACAGTAGGAAGACATATTTCATACAAGTCATGATACATTTAAAAAAGGATATTCTAAACTATAAGTTATTAACTAATAAGTAATTATGATATAATTAATAAATAGTTACTAAAACCAATAAGCTATATATATTATAACATTAAAAATAAAAATTAATTACATCATAATCAATAAAGAACACCTGTAAAGAAATTAATTATAGTAGATAATGAAGTTGTGACATTAAATTGGTACTTATTAAAAGGTATTGGATTAAACCAAATATATAAAACAAAGATGCAACCATGTCTAAAAACTAGAGAGCACAAATCGCTAGTTAGATAGTAGATAAATGACTAAATATATTATTATAAAATTGAATTCAGATTCTTGAGTACAAAATTTCTATTAAACTTTGGAAATCAATTTTGATAAAACTTCAAAGAAATTTCTTAGGAATTAATAGCATATTTTAAAAATTTTCTGTACATCGTGCTTATGCAGGACAACTTGGACGTATGCCCGAGGGTTCCCACTACTTCTTGAGAATAAAATAAAAAATTTAATAAGCGTATAAAATTACTTAATTTTAGTCTAATAATAAATCAAATGGATTAGAGACACATCGAATGAAAGACATTTTAAACAGTATTTCATATAAAACAGCTTAAGGAATAAATTTAATTTTGGGAGAAGGCGACGTCTTGGACCAGGGGTGTCAAATTGCTATGTCTGGCACTATTTACATTTTTACTATATATTTTATGGCACATTTTAGTATTCTTTTTACAAGTGAAATCCAGTCAGCATATAAAACATTCTATTAATAGTGCATTTTTATTATTTGTGCCTAGTCATTATTCTATTTACCCTGCGTAGTTGGAGTATTATTGATATCACTATTTTCAACTACAATTAATAAATTTCATTAGAAAAAAAAAGTCAATTGTTAGTTTATACATAATAAGATATAATTCAAACTGACAACTGAAATTTATAAATCAAAACAATATTTTTGTATGACAATAAACTATTGGTAGCCTAGATAACGATATCATTCCTTTAGGGTGGAAACATACCTTCCCTAATTCAACTAACTATTTCATAACAAATAAATAGATAAAATGTATACTGTATTTATAGTATGGAGTTGTCTAATGAGGTACAAATAATGAGATCATCCAGTTTTGAGTTATTGTAATACTTTTTGTAGCTGTACCAACAATATTTGATTTCATTTATTTTAAATTTAAATTTTTTATTTTTAAAAAGCCAATGCTATTGACAAAAATTAATTTTGTTTTAGTTAGTCAACTATAATTATTCTTATAAAAGTAATAAAAAAACAAAACAATTTTTTTACTCTCAGATGAAGCATTTATTTATCAATGCAAATCTATCAAATAAGTTCTAATCCACACTTCAAACCATATTAATGACTTAGCAAAATATTTCATTTTTAAAGCATTTTTTGAGCAGTTTGGGCAGTGTGAATTCTAAATCACCAGCAAAAATTACACACTATGGCCAAACAATACTCTCTATCCATTCTACATAATTTGATACTCGTGTATATACACCTGGATATGTTAACGCACAACCTTTTCCAAAAGAAACCACTCCAATTTGTGAATACATACAGTACACATCCTTGTGTTCTATTTGTAATGGTCCACCAGAATCACCCTAAAACAAGAATATCAGATATTTTTAAAGCCATATGTTAATAGTTTGTTTTTTCATTCTTTTTACTAGGAAATAATACATTTTTCCATACTTAGGGCATTAAGTATTAGAGCTGAATGAGACACCTTCATACCATATATACAATGCAAAGTGAAATTAAAAAATACAGAAATTCACAGGAAAAAACAAAAGGAATAAATAAATAGATTCAAAAACAAATATACATTCGTACTTAATTACAATATTTATAATCAGCTGAGGGAGCACCGAGTCCAGACCTCGGAGGATAAAGCGAGACTCTTAGAGATCCCAGCTCTTCTCTCTCAGTCGCGGAACCGGCATTAAAGTTCAGTGGAGACTAAGAGAGGACACTAGAGCCATAGACGATCATTTTTAGTTTATTAGATTTGAAATTCCATCTGGTTACGCCAAATGAATATTTGTTTTATCATTATTTTTTAAAGATGGAGTAAGAGGAAGAGAAAAAAAAAATGTAATAAGTATTAGTTTTCAAAAACATTAATCTTCCAGTAAATATCCAGTGTGTGAGATACAAAATAAATCCACACTTTGGAGAGGCAAGTTTTTTGAAAGTTTTTTCATGATTTCAAAAATCATTCGTTTTTATTTTAATCTCACAGAGATATAAATTTTAATAAAAATCAAACATAATTTGCTTTTCTTATGTCGATTCATGAAAAATTTTCATTTGAATTAATTTTTTTTTTAAATAATTGAATTTAATAATAATAAATTTCTCATCATTTGATTCATTGTAAAAACTCCTGTTCATTCTTCCAAAGTGTCATAATTTTTTTCTTTAGTCATTAAGTATCATTTATAAAAGTAAATTACTAAATGATTATATTAATTTTCTATCTGGAAAATAAATACATTATGCACTAGTTATAACTATATTTTAAATATAATTTGTAAGCACTTTATGAGATTTCACATCTACAAATATAGTCTCAAATCAAAAATGCATATTTTAGAGTTTTTCTTCCTTCAAAAGTGTTCTTAGGTATTTAAAAAAAAATAAACTGATGTATAATTTATGAACAAAATAAATTTCAAAGAAAAAAAAATTGTTTATATAGTTTCTAATGATTCCCTGATTGAGATAGAAAGATAGGTAATTCAGTGTTTCAGACAGTAGTAAGCTGGTGTGATAGAAATAATTTAAGGTTTCATCTCTCAGATTGATTCTATATTATGAGATTAAACATTTCATTAGCTTTTTGACTAAACTTTATACCCAACTCAAAATTCTTAAGTGGAAGAAATGATACTTTACCTGACAAGTGTCTTTTCCTAGTTGTCCTCCAGCACACAACATCAAATCTTCAACAATACCGTTTGGGATCTGCTGTCTATATTCACCTCTTCCATAATTATTATTGCACTTCTCATTGCTCACTATAGTCAAATTTACTTTTTGAAGCATCGAACTCCCTTGGCCACCTAGAAACAAATCAATATTATTTTTTTTTAAATAACAATGACAATTAACCAGTATTGGTATTTATGAAAATAGATTTTAGAATTTTTGAATAGAGAATTTAAGAAAGAAGTTTACATGCAATAATTTTTTGTTTTAGTTTCATAAAAACTTACCCCAAGATGTATGACCCCAACCAGATGCTAAAGCAGATTTTGAATCAAGATCCTTGCCAGTGTAAAGACAGAGTGGGCGAATGTAAGAATTAAGTTTTACTTCCCTTTCCAGTTCAAAAAGAGCGATGTCATGATACAAACGATTCCTATTATACTGTGGATGATTTATACGTCTTTTTATCCTCAGTTCTACAGGCTCAGCATCATCATGATCAATTGATGTATCAAGATCTCCAAGTCGGACCCAAGTAGCTGGCCCAATTCTAAAAATAAATAAATATTTATTTATTTGATTGTATTGCATAAATATTTTTGGAAATAGAATTTATTGACCTTGTTCAGTGACTTATTTTTGAAAATTGTTTTATTATTATAAACACAAAATATTTTTTGATAGCAAAGTAGTTTCCCATCTGATAAGTATCTTAACAATAAACAAATCTGAGCTTAAACACGTCTTGTGGATAGATAACATACTATCCCTTGGTCACTGCCTCGAAAGACCTCGGGAACTATGTATGGAATTAAATGCTCGCGATGAAGGATTCATGTTGTAAGTTAGTCTGTGGTGACAATTTTTTTAGTACACTAAATAACTGAGTCTGTAACTGCTAGGATTTCCAAGGCCTTGTACAGTAAGTAATTTGCCCACAATTTTTGTATTATTGTTTGTGTCCACTATTTTTTAAAATGCTTTTGACAGGAACAGTTGAATTTTTAAGGTTTTGAAAGCCCCACAGCTCTATCCTGTAGGTTCATAAATGTTTTCAACCTTTATTTTTGACACATTTTTGTGATGAGGGTCAAAAGAATATATGATGCACTGCCTGTGGCTTCATAGACTTTTGTCCATGATACTTGGACTGTATCTCTCATCATTATTCTTTTGTAAACATCCCTCTTTTTCCTTTTTTTTTTTTTTGGTATTTTTTTACATCATCTTTTTCATCATATATAATTTTAATGAATAATTAATCTTAGAGTTACGTAATAAAAGGTACAAATCATCCATGATCATAAGGTAAAAGTATGATGTTTACTCTCATGATCACCTATACATAAAAACCAGAAAAATACTGACTCATGTAGATATGAAGAAAGTTAAGTAATGTCTAAATCCAATTATGGTTAACTTTTGTTTAATGCAACTTTTTAAAAGAAATTAAATAAATAATTGATTGCATAGTTTAAATATGTATCATACCTGTTGTCTGGCTTAGTGCAATGAGCAGCAGTAAGGACAAATTTAGGACTAATTAAACTTCCTCCACATAACCATTCTATGCTTGGTTTACCTCCATAGCCAATCAGAGCCTAGAATAAATAGTAAAAATTGCCAAGATAACATAAACATTTCACGGATAGAAAGCTTAAATTTGGAAGTGATCTATATTGCTAAAATTTTAACAATAATTTCTAAAATACCACAAAGATTTGAATGTTATTAAGCATAATAGGTCATTTAGTAAATGTTAAAATCATAGTAACAATCTCATCAAAAATAAAAATTAAAGGGTAAATATTAGTTTTTCATTCATATTTGTTTAGTATAACTAATTATCCTATAATTACGGTGGATACAGAACTACATTTAATATGGTGGATATACGGAATAAATCTCTAGCATGCCATTCTGGTTAATATAGATTGATAACCTGTCAAATAAATCAACTTTTCAGCTCTTTTCAGAAAACATGAGGTCATTAAAACCAACAAACAGAACAAACACCAGTTATTAAAGAGTTGAAAACTATAGATAATTAGTTTTTAGACTAAAGATCAGAACCAACAAATCATACAAAAGATTTGTCGAAACTATTCAATTGATCTCATCATTTTATCAAGCTCAATTAGTAATTTTTGACAAAATAATTAATTTATCACAATTTTTATACAAAATTAGAGATAAAACTTATCAAAATACAGGTATTTAAAAATTAAATAAAAAATTGGGAATGAAATTTTAAAACATGTTTTGCTTTTACATTATAATCATAATTATATTAGTATTAAGTTAAAATGTTAATCCAAAATGTGTGCACTATCTAAATTTCTTTTTTATACTTAAGATATTTTATTTTGAGACAAGGTAGAGACAAAAAAAGGTAGAAGGTAACATTGCTTTACCATGTGAGGAAATTCTCTAGACATTGCATTGACGCCACCAACTATCAGAGTTTGGATATTACACTCATTAATTTTAATAATTTCTGGTTTTTGGTTTGGTAGTAATATAGGTGATTCCTCAATACGATAAACATACTGACCATATTCTTTGCACACTGAAAAAGTAAAACGAAATATATTAATAAATCTCACAAGTAATATTCATTTGTAAGAAATTTAATTTAAGGAAGACTGAAATTTCCACTTTTTTAATTTAATTTTATTGTTATTGCAATAATTAAAGTAAATTTTTATCTGTGTTCAAGTTAGGAAATAATCATATAATAAAAGATAAATAATTAATTTAGAGATGGCTAAGTAGCCAACTGATCAATTATAAGACAATTTTGTTTCATCCTCATAAGTAATTAATTAACTAACCAAATTATGAAATAAATAAATAAATAGAAACTTAATATTTAAAAATTACTGATTATTATGTTGCCTATACACACAGTTTATAAAAACAATCTAAAGACGATCTTGGGGCATGGATACAGATTAAACATTTTTAAACAAGCAAGAACATCAGTACTTACTTTGGTCTGCTTTAGATCCTGTTCGGTCTGTTGGTTTTTTTGTGGTGGGTTTATTTCCACTCGGTTTTGTAGTCCAACTTCCCCAAACGGGCCCTTCTTCCTCAGTTACTTTATTTGTAGTCCACCAGTAAGGCGGTTTGGAAGCGGTTGGTCTAGTTGTTTGTCGAGTAGTAGATGTGGGTCGCCTGGTGGTAGTAGTTTCTGGCTCCAGTTGGATAGATGGTGGACAACAGACGATGGGTTCGGGGCCTTGAAAGCTGCAGACATCAGGCCTCTGACCTTTCTGCCTCATTTCCTGTACTGCAGGGCAGTCACCCAGGCTCTTACATCTCCAAACTCTGGGCCCTTCTTTACAAACATCGTTGAGGCCTGAAAAATATAAAGATTCTTTATATTTATATTTCTTTATATTAAAATTCAGTGGATTAATAATTATAAAAATGCTGCAAATTACACAATGTTTTTTTTTACTTCCAAATATATGTATATATATATATATATATATATATATATATATATATATATATATAAATATATATATATATATATATATATATATATATATATATATATATATATATATAAATATAACACTACTTTACTTATCACTTAAGAGAAAAATAAATAAAAGGTGCTTGCTTTTATTTAAGCATGCAATTAAATGCTTAAATAAAATGCTGAAATTGGCCTAAACCAATTTTTTTTCACTATTAATATTTTTTTTTGAAATATGGACAACAATCTTGATTGTTCCGGTTGATGTAAGACTTCCTAAAAATCAAAAACCAAAACAAAGGATATTAGCTTTGCAAATTGATGAACACCATATCTTTTAACTAAATCCTTCTAATTTCAAAGATTCTTTCATTGTTATTTAGGAAATTTTGTAAATTTTTAAAGGAGCATGATAAAACATAGACAAAAACATTTATATTTTTTGAGCACAGGCGGATCTACGAGAGGGAAGTGGGACACTATCAGGTTGAAACTCCTTCAAATAGAAAACAAATATTTTTTTTCATTGGTCGATATTTGTTACTGTTTGATCTAGACTAAAAACTTAAGCAATAACAAAATTTTCTATGTTTAATATTTATACTTGCGCCATCGACTTTGGAGGAGGGAGGGAGGTGGGCACCACTGATGCAAGGCATTCCAATGTGAACTTATTTGTATCATATTCATATTTTATTTTATTATTTTTCATAATTTGTTTTAATCCACAGTTAACTGTTCCCTTTTATGTTGGAGACTTAAGGTTTTATAGTTTGGATTGTTCCATTCATAATATCTCTTTTCGAGCTTATTTCTTATTTCAGTAGATTTATTTTAGTTTTATTTATTTTTACTTTTGTTTTTATATTATTCTTATTTATTTTAGTTTTTCTTAAGTTTTATTCATTGGATTATTATTCATTTATGCTACAAACTTCACTAGTCCATGGATATAGACATCATGTATCATCTTTTGTATGAGACTCTACCCCCACTTATTCCAACAGTTAAAAATTTAACTATTGCTAATGAACTGCGAATGAACCCATGAACCATCGGCTCACTAAGCCGATCTGGAAATGAAGAATATATATGTATATAAATCAGCATTCCATTCATAAAAAAATCCCTTTTGGTTTAGTTAAGAGTTCTAACAAACTATGATCCTGTTTCAATCTCAAATAGAATTCTTTTGTTATTTACTATAATCAGTAATTTAATATTCTCTACTCAGCACCAGCGGATCTACTGGGGAGAGGCTCTGGGGCTGAAGCCCCCTCCAAAATTGTTGTAAAATGTAACCATGTTTTATGGAAATATCTCTTAAAGTATTATTGTTGGTGTAATTACATTTAAAAGAACTTTAGGAATCACTTAAACACCATTTCATATAGTTAGTTAGTTTCTTTCTTTTTTCTAAAGTAATTATCGTTATTTTTATGAAAAAAAAAAGCTTTCAGGCTGAAGCACTCCCCCAAAATTAATTTACGTACAGACGGCGTAGACTGAAATTAAGGAAAATAACGAATGATAAAAAAAAGAACATAAATTAAAAAAAAAGAAAAATGTAAAGACCAAGACGAGGAGGAAAGAATGGAAGACAGATTAAGATTGACTTTTCCTCGTTGAGCAATCGCGAGGCAGAATACAGATGCGAACCTTGCTCCACTCGCACGTCATGACCCTTATCTTCCATCTCTCAATCCTACTTCATGGAAGGAGGCTTATTATTCTCAGGTTTAGATAACAGTGTCCTTTAGCGATTGTCAGCTGCTGTTCTATTAATATCCTAAAGTAATAGAAATAGATTCCAAGGATAGCTGCTTTATAGCTTGCAAGAAATTCGATAATAAGTAACGAAATTTCGTTTTTTTTTACATATATCTATTGAAATTTACAACTGTATTAGTTAAAAATACAACTAGTAAATTCGAATCGGTAATATGACATGTAAAACATGAAGAGAAACTACCTATTGGTAACACTCGAATTATAATTCTATATTAGAAGATTTCGAGGCCAGAAGTGCCCAGAAGGGGTTTCATGGCGCAAGGTGAACCATAAAAAATTCAAGGGGGCACATTTTGAAGGCGTTATGAATTTTTGTGGAGAGCACATTTTAAGGGGAGAAGTTTATGAGTTGGGAAATGGGAAAAAGTTCGCTGAGAAGAAACTCATCAATTACCTTACGAATAGACTACTCGAAAACTGCAAGAGGATATTGACTGTATCCACAGTCCAGATGGGCAGAGAAAAAAATGAACTGAAGCTGAATGGAGATAAAACTAAGCCTGTCCTCATTGGTTCGAGGCTAACCTCATAAGCTGTCTTCCTCAGTAACCTCTACTTTACCTCAAGAACCGCCCCATCCATTTCTTCTCGTTATTCAAAAACGTTAGAGTAATCTTTGATCGAAACCTCTTCTGGAATAACCACATTTCCCAGATTACCCGAAAATCCATAACTATCCTTAAACAATTCCTACGATTCCGCGATTCTATTCCTAAAAAAATTAGACAACCTTGTAACCTCCTTTGTTTTCCCACACTTCAACTACAGTTTTTTGGTGTATGGAGGGCTGTCTGTAATACTGAAGAGACTCATGAATTGCTTCATAAGATTCATCTTAGGGATCTCTAGGCGTTCTCATGTTTTCTGTTTATACACCGAGTTGAAGTTGCTTTATCTCACTTCCCGACGACAATTCCTTATTGCTGTTTTCCTTTTCCAAATCCTAAAAACCAAAATCCTTAATACCAGATCTATATACCCTCACCCATAAAACCATTTCAATCAGCAAATCCTTTGTCATTTGTGCTATCTGTTTTTGAAGCTTCTTATGTATCTGCATACATCAAACCTCATCAACGAATTCCTTCAAACAACTCCTATTCCACCACTTAATACACATTCAAATTTCTACAAGCTTGTAAGAATTTTTAGTTTATGTAATTACAATTGCTTAAAAACAGTTAATCGATAAGAGCCATTTTAAATTTATTTTTTTCTTAATATTTTTTGTATATATTTGTATTACATCTACATACCAGACTGATGTACATATTTTTTAAACTCTATTATTATTCTAAAGGAACTTGAGTCCCAGAATAAAATTAATTTCATTTGAAGTTTCGTTCAGATTCAGGATATTTTCTTAATTTCCATTTGATGTAGCAGGAGTGGATTCAGGTTTTTTGGGAGAGAAGGGAGGAGGAGAATAGGGAACTATTAGGGTCAGCATAAAATTTGGGAGAAATGTCATATCATCTATGAGACAAATTATAGGTATTTATAAATTATTTTAACTATAATTTTGATATGGAAAATTTCCCGTCCCGAGGATCCACTCCTGTGATGTCGAACTATAGGTTTTATTAGTAGAGATGATTGCAACAAAGTGAGTACCCCATGAGGTAAACGAAGGAAGCAATATCAGTTCTATCTGTAATTGGTTGGGAAAAAAGAAATAATCTCTGTAATAGAAGGCAATTAGCCCTGAGAGCGGAGGAACGGGTTGAATTGGACTCAGCTCTCAGCGGCAGCAATGAAAAGTTACGCTACACTGCTCGTCAGTTCCTATAACCTGTCAGTTAGCTATATTATAACAAAAGAAATTTATATGTAATTATAATAACAATGGTAAAATAATCATACGACTGAGATTAATTAAATATTAAAATATTTTAATACTTCTTCTCTTTTTAACAGTGAAATTAATAACACTTTGATAGCACTCTGAAGGTCACTATCGTTTTCTTTTCGGACGTATGGAGAGCGAAGGAAGAAAAGCATTATTTGGAAGCATGAATTCCATTAACTTTGTATGTCATTACGTAGTACGTTCTTAATTTATTCAGGGGCAAGTCCGTTTTGAACAAAGTACATGAACATAATTGTGTACTTCAGAGCCTCAGTGTAGCAGAACAAAGAACTAAAAATGAACGAAACAGATAATAAAAATCATTACGTAACTTTTAATATTAACAAATAGAAAAATATGATAGAAGCATTAATTAATCAAAAATACAAAACGAATATTAATTTATATACACATTTACGAACAGAAGTATTCGCAATTTCCTGGAAATTGGATTGATAGGAAGTGGTTAAATAGACGGAATAGAATTAAATGTGAGGAGACTTTTGGAGTGACGGATATTGGTAGGGTTGGAATTCCTTAGGGACGAGGATTGGATAATGTAAGATCAAGAAACACCGCAGTTCGATGGGCCGTAGAATATCAATCTTAAGCTGGAATTGCGGAAATGAATAGAGGATTCGATCTGAAGTAGTTCGGAGATGTATGACGAATAGCATGACTGGAAACTTGGAAGAGGAAGGATGCCAGTAAGTACTTACGACGGTAGAATGAATAAAACTACTTCAATTGTTAACAAAAACAGAAGACTGTAGCGTCTTTTGGAATCCCAAAGATAAATCGTACAAAGCAATTTATCGACCGTTCAAATTTTATCCCGGTATTCCCAGATATATCACCAAATAATAATCACCATATACCCTATAATGGCCAAAGCCGGAGAACATTAAGGAAGTAACCAGAAGCCTACGAGTTTCAAATGGAAATAGGTGACGAAGGTAATTTAGTCGTTTAATGAGGAAAAAGCATGCCGGGAAATACTGAATGCGTGGCTTCTGCATGAAAGATCAAAGTTATGCAGTTTTTCTTAAATGGTAAAATAGAATTTTACGGGAATCTTGGATCTAGGAACAAGGTCGGGAATTTATGAACGGTTTTAAGATGTGATTGGATACTATTACAATTGCCTTCATATTATCAACTTGAACTTTAAGCCTCTGTCCATTCAATTCGATTCAACTCAAGTACTCATACATATATATATATATATATATAT